GGCTAGACAACGGCTAATCTAAATTGCTGAAGCCATCTGGATCAACCTCAGAAAACCGAACTTATGGATCGAGAGGAGGTACATCCAACTTCTATGTTTACAATGGCCCACAATCGGATCACTTGATACCTAAACTGAATATTATAAACCTCTTACTTACTTACGCCTGTTACTCCTTGTGAAGGAGCATAGGCCGCTTACCAGCATTCTCCATCCAACCCTGTTCTGGGCAATCCTTCCCAGCTCTTTCCAGTTCTTATTCATCCCTTTCATATCCGCTTCTATTTCCCGACGTAATGTGTTCTTTGGCCTTCCTCTTTTCCGCTTCCCTTCAGGATTCCAAGTAAGCGCTTGTCTCGTAATGCAGTTTGATGATTTCCTCAATGTATGTCCTATCCATTTCCATCGTCTTTTCCTAATTTCCTCTTCAGCTGGAAGCTGGTTGGTTCTCTCCCACAAAAGGCTGTTGTTGATGGTATCAGGCCAATGGATGTTGAGTATCATGCGTAGACAGCTATTGATAAATACCTGTACCTTCTTGATGGTGGTTGTTGTAGTTCTCCAAGTTTCAGCTCCGTACAGTAGAACTGCCTTGACGTTCGTATTGAAGATTCTGACTTTGATATTGGTTGAAAGTTGTTTTGAGTTCCATATGTTCTTCAGTTGAAGGAATGCCGCTCTAGCTTTGCCAATCCTCGCCTTGACGTCTGCATCTGAACCTCCTTGTTTATCGACGATGCTTCCCAGGTATGTGAAGGATTCCACATCTTCCAGAGTTTCGCCATCAAGAGTGATTGGATTGCTGTTCTCCGTGTTGTGTTTGAGGACTTTGGTTTTCCCTTTGTGTATGTTGAGGCCTACTGATGCAGAGACTGCTGCTATGCTGGCTGTCTTTATCTGCATTTGTTCGTGTGTATGTGATAGGAGGGCTAGGTCATCTGCGAAGTCCAAGTCGTCTAATTGGTTCTCAGCTGTCCACCGTATGCCGTGTTTTCCCTCAGATGTCGAGGTCTTCATAATCCAGTCGACCACTAGAAGAAACAGGAAGGGAGAGAGTAGACAGCCTTGTCTTACTCCGGTCCTTACTTGGAATGCGTCAGTCAGCTGTCCTCCATGCACTACTTTGCACTGTAGTCCATCGTATGAGTTCCGGATAATGTTGACAATCTTCTCAGGAACTCCGTAGTGTCGAAGAAGTTTCCATAACGTCCTCCTATCTACACTGTCAAATGCCTTCTCATAATCAATGAAGTTGATGTAGAGTGACGAGTTCCACTCAATTGATTGTTCGACAATGATCCGTAGTGTCGCAATCTGGTCTGTGCACGACCGGTCCTTACGGAATCCAGCTTGTTGATCTCGAAGTTGAGCGTCTACTGCGTCTTTCATCCTGCTCAGTAACACTCTGTTGAAGACTTTACCTGGTATTGACAGTAGTGTAATACCTCTATAGTTTTCACACTTTCTCAGATCTCCTTTCTTTGGAATCTTGATGAGGTGTCCTTCTTTTCAATCCATCGGCACTTGTTCCCCCTCCCAAATCTTCTTGAATAGAAGATGAAGCATGCTTGTAGTTACTTCGACGTCTGACTTCAACGCTTCAGCTGGTATATTGTCAGGTCCTGCTGCTTTCCCGCTCTTGATTTGTCTCATGGCCATTCTGATTTCTTCGGTCGTTGGTGGATTGACATCTATAGGAAGATCTGTGTGTGCTGCTTCGATGTCCGGTGGATTCATTGGAGCCGGCCTGTTCAGGAGTTCCTCGAATTACTCTGCCCATCTGTTCCGCTGTTGTTGAATCTCAGTGATTGGTCTTCCTTCTTTGTCTTTGACTGGTTTCTCTGGTTTACTGTATTTCCCTGCTAGCTTCTTCGTCGTATCGTAAAGCTGTCTCATATTTCCTTCTCTTGCAGCTTTCTTCGCCGTCGTTGCTAGTTCTTCCACGTATTTTTACTTGTCAGCCCTAATGCTCTTCTTCACTTTCTTGTTTGCTTCTATGTACTCTGCTTGTGCTTGGACTTTCTCTGCTCCTGTTCGACTGTTGTTAATTGCTGTTTTCTTGTTCTTTCTTTCTTTGATCCTGTCCAGTGTTTTTATAGAGATTCATTCCGTGTGATGATGCTTCTTGGGGCCCAGAACCTCTTGACAAGTTAAAATTAATGTTTCTTTGATACCTTTCCAGTTATCCTCCATAGTAGTTTCTTCTTCCTTCAGTAGGTCCTGTAAGGCTTGGAACCTGTTGTTGAGAGCTACCTTGAATTCATTGAGTTTGTCAGTATCTCGAAGGAAGGCTGTATTGAAGCTTTGTGGTGCTGTTTGTCCAGTTCTTCTTTAGTTTCAGGTTTAAGTTGGCCACAACCAGGTGGTGATCTGAAGCTATGTCCGCTCCTCTCCTGGTTTTCACATCTTCCATTGTCCGTCGGAACTTTTTATTGATGCAAATATGATCTATCTGGTTCTCTGTGGTGTGGTCCGGTGAGATCCATGTAGCTTTGTGTATACGTTTGTGTGGGAATATTGTAACCCCTATGACCAATTTATTGAATGCACACAGATTTGCAAATATTTCCCCGTTTTCGTTCCTCTCTCCCAGTCCATGTAGTCCCATGATGTCTTCATATCCGGTGTTGTCCATTCCGACTTTGGTGTTTAGATCTCCCATCAGAATGGTGAGTTCCTTTCTTGGGCACTTCTCTATGATTGATTGCAGCCTCTCATAGAATTGATCTTTAACGTCATCGTTGCTATCATTGGTGGGTGCATAACATTGGATAATGTTCATGGTGATCCCCTCCTTCTTTGTTTTGAATGATGCTTTGATGATTCTGGATCCGTGAGATTCCCATCCTACCAGTGCATTTCGTGCTACTTTGGATAGCATTAGAGCAACTCCCTGAGTGTGTGGAGCATTTTCCTCTTTGTGACCGGAGTATAACAGCATCTCTTCCGTATTTAGCCTTTGTTGTCCAGCTTGGGTCCAATGGGTTTCACTGATTCCCAGTACTGCCAAGTTGTATCTCCTCATTTCCGTTGCTATTTGACTGGTCTTCCCGGTCTTCCACATTGTCCGGACGTTCCATGTACCTATAAAAATTGTTGCTCTGGTTGTTAGAAGGGGCATCGGCCTCGTGGCTTCCGAAGGAACTCGGCTTTCACCATGAAGCTTCATATTACCTCTAACTCCCAGGGCAGAGTTTAAATGGTTTGAGTTATTTTTTCTGGTTAGCGTTTTTTTAGCGAGTTAGTTTTCTACGGGATGGGGACGCTAACCCTCCTCCTTTACCCGAGCTCGGGACCGGCAGTAACCTCTTCCCCCATACAAATTCCTTTTGTGTCTATATCTTTCTTAATCTGTACATTCATCTTTCCTGATTCACATGAATTCTTTTTTATCGCAATTACTTGATAACACTTCTCTTATTTCATATTATATTTACATGACGACATTATTTTTATGATTATTACTATTGCTATTATTATTATTATTACCTCGATTAACGAGACTTGGATTTAACTAGCATGATTTTTGATTTTGTTATATTACTGGTGTACTGATTATGACTTGACACTTTACTACAAATCATTCTGACCTTTATTGAATGACCTTTCTAATTTGCAAATAACAAAATTTTGAAGTATATATATTTATCGTAACAGATGCAAACGTTCACCATTTTTAACATATAACATTGTCAAATTAATTAATGCATGACTTATTTTGGCCTTTGTAAAATATCACAATAATTATGGACATATAACTGTATAGCACGATGATGAAGTTGATGAGAACAATTGTTCGCTCAAATGTTCTTCATTTTTGAATACATTCTATGGGGATTTTTAAACTATCGGACTAATGTTCATCATTGCTTTGGCCAAAATCTAACCGCGATTTGTCCGACTCGGCTCTCACGAAAAAATAGTTCTAACTGTTCCTTTTAAAATATTAATCAGTTCCTATGCCCTTGATATATATAGCTTTAGGAAATTTTAGAATATATAGTATAGTATATAGTATCTGTTGCAGATATATACCAAGTGAAGCAAATAATTGGTTTTAAACTGAGAAGAGTACGAGTCAACATTTGGCTGAGTACAAGATGTTGAATTTGTATGCAACGTGTGTTCTGGGTTCCTCAATGTTTATCTTTTTGTTTATTGTTCATGGAAATCATAACTTCGAAAGATGAAGAAAATCAAGATCGGTTTTCTTCTGACTGTTATATATTAGTTTCTGGTCTGAAGTTTTCCTGTGTTTTTGGAGTATTCCAACATAGGGTCATTTTCCAAGTAATGGAAGCTTGATATTTGCATAACTATCGATTGAATGATTCCCAATCACCAGTAGACACCATGCAATATTACGTCGAATCCCAATACAAATAAGGTTGTAAGAAGCTGAATAGAATTCATGATATTTATGGCATAGCTCTCTTTAGACCATCGATCAAATTGCAATTAGGCAACTGGTCTTAGTAACTGAACGTTGAGCTGTACTGTGTTTGATTTTAAATGTTTAGAGATAATCTGGAGTGCTTTCAACCAACAGTTTGATTTTATTGATCTGTGTGCATTTCCCAATATCGACTTCTAGCATGTGACAGAATAAACCTCTGAGAAAACCAAACGTTTGTAACAGTTGTTTCATCAGAATTAACTTAAGTACTTTAGTAATATCCTTCTAACATTTATATTAAAATACGGATGTGTCAATACCAACATATAGAAACTTGGAGGTTTCCTGTCTGCGATTGAACGAAGGAAACGTAATTGAACGTGTTCTAAATTTTATCCATAGTCCGAGAGAAACAGGCCATGAATATCGATAAATTTCTAATAATTAATTGGTCTATTAAGGCAATGTTACTATTGGTTGATAGTTTCTGTTATTATTACATATCTTGGTCACCATACTTTAATTTCCTTCCCGTTTAATTATTGATTCAACAGTTGATTGGTCATTTAATTTCAATATATTTATTGGAATGAAGCCACACTTTCATGTCTGACTTTGTATCTTACTTCAGTTGCACGTTGGTGGATCTACTATACTTCAGCAATGAGTCAAACATGTGAATGGAAAAATGAGGTCATAAAGAAACAGGCCCAAAAAGAACGAGAGAAAGACGTGGAAAAAAGATGGGCAGACGTTATGTCTAAGAACGGTGAGGGAGCTCCCGAATGGTTAAAAGAAGCTGCTATGAAGAAAAAGCAGAAACAAAGTTTGAAACTGAAAGATGAGAATTTAGCTCCATGGCTAAAAGAAGTTCAGAAGAAGAATGCCGGCTTAGCAAGAAGGATATCCGATGCCACAAATTGTGAAATTGAAAGTAATCTGGACTGAAATACAAATTTGGTGCGTTTTTTTTCTTTATTACGATAGTTTGATATGTTTCTGAATGAATGGTAACTAGATTGTTCAATATCATGTGAATTATATACAGAGATTAACTATACTACAAACATACATATACGTTTATTATCATGATTCCTTTACTTGTATATTATTATTTGCGCTTTATTTAATAACCTGATTTGTGGAAATCCAGAATATTTTCCTAACACATGACTTTCATTTCTTGAGTTTATCATACACTGAACATGTAAACCCAAATCTTGATAAATATCCGATTGAATTTTTCAGTCCTTACCAATTTATCTTCACAGTTGAAATCACGAGTCAATCTAAGTTAAACCATCATTGGAAATCTAGAAGCACTGGGCTTGGAACCAGGACATTCGGTCTCGCGTGAAAACACTCAAATTCTAGACAACGATCGGCATCAATCGTTGTTAGTGTCTAACTTCAATAAATCATCTTGCGTAACCCTTCGTCGATTGGCTATAGTGGTCACGGCTTCTCACCAGAACTCTAAGACTTACATCTAGAAGCCGGTTACTAGCAGGAGGAAGATTGCTATCAGTATAGGGAATTTGTGGAGATTGTAGTGTTTTCACAATTGAATTCCGCATGTGAGATTGTGGACGCGCATTATTAAGGAATCCTTTATTAGGATGAGACGGCCATCCAGTGATTCCAGGTTTTCAATGATGGTCTAGCTTAGGTCGACTCGTGATTTCAACTGTTAAATTATTACAATCTCCACAAACTGCTCATACTGATAACTTACCAATTTACGTCTGCACATAAAATAGAATTGACTAAGGTTTTCCCTCGGTCATTGGTTCAACCCTGTCCACCCTTTTTTCGGTGTCAATAGCATGTATATTTACCTACACCCGAATACTTAAATGATATCCAGACTAGTGCCTCAGCATGATCGTAAAAGCCTTTGATGACTAATGCAGGTTTTAAGTCCAGTGCTAAAGACACTTGGTATAAGTTAGTGTGATAATTAAAGTACTTGAATTATTGTACGAACTAAGAATCTCCGAAATAACGTAATTTAAATCAAAAGGAACTATGTGAGCACAAACGAACGTATTGTATTTGGAATTCGAAATCAGTCATAAATCAAGTACAAAGAAACCATTAATTCATACAAATACCACAGTTATTCTTCGTTGATTAAATCAAAAAATATAATCTAGAAACAAAGTCGACGTACAATGTATCAGAATATTTCACTGAAGTGACAATAATTTTTCGCAATCTACAAATGTTAGATTTGCGGAGTTGTGTGTTTCCAATGATATGTACAACTTGCTATATTTAAGAGGAATAATTTAACAATAAATAATTTACTGCACTACCCATGTTGTGAAGTTCCCTAAAATATTTTATTGCTAAGTCTTAAGCTCTACATTACTGGCCAAACAGTATAAGAATTTCAAGCTATTTTACTTGGCTTTGAGACACATGTCAGAGATGCTACTCGGCTATTTAAACAAGTAGGAAAAGCAGAGTTATAACCATAAACATTAGTTGAAAGTCAAGTTAAAAAAACCGTTAATTAATAGCTTCACCTGCATCTTACTGTTGGTATGGGTCATATATTTGCTTCATTGATTTTCATTTTATAATGCTAACACAGAACCATTTAGTAATAGGATTCCGATATATTCTATCCAGAATATCAAGTGTCACTATATTTTTATTCTTCGGTTTCATTTATTTCTGAACTAAATTTCCCACATTTAGCGTTGTGTTGCAGTTTTTAATGTCATCTCTCTAGCTAAGCTGAGATGAGGTATTGCAACATAGAGCAATGCAATTCCAGGTCGTACGTTGATAGCAGCTGACTTTCATGTGTGTGGCTTAACCAGATTTTGCTTAACTTGATTAATCTCTGTAATAAATTTCATAACTACTTTCCCACACTGATCTCTTAAAAGCCCGATAACTTCACATGTACTCTGTTGGTTATTGTGGTATTGGAGACATTAATCATGGACGTTTTTTGTGCTTCGCTTACTTTTTATGGATCAGAGTGTACTTTCTCTGCAAAGAATACAAACTAGTTTTAAAAGACAGAAATCACTAACGGCTAGTTTTACACTGGAAAACGGTCATTATTTTGATTAAGTCACAAAGCTTTCAGATTCTCTGTTGACTATTTATAGTAACATCCGGTTTCCACTGTATTATTTTCAAGCCGTAAACAGCTCTGTACCCAAAGATGGGTTGTGACTAGCAGTGGAATCCAGGTTGCGCGTTTTGCCCTGTCTGGAACTCAGCTGGGCGTACCGGCACCTCAGAGTTAATGTTCACTCTGGGACTCGAGCCCACTACCATTCGCTTCAAACGCCATCGCGATAGCCACCTTCTTGTGCAATGTGGTGAGGTTATATTCACTTAGTGTTGTTTACTTCTATCTTCCCATTGTTATTTAGGACTGTGATTGATCAATCTCTTGTTAGCATATGTGCATCCTGTGCGAACTGCCTCGATATTACCTGAATTCACAAGCTTCATAAGCAAGGATAGTTAGTGGCTAGCTAAGTGGATAATGCGATGACGTTTGAAGTGAACGGTACTGGGTTCGAGTTCCAGAGTAAACATCAACTCTGAGATGCAGGTACATCCAGCTGACGAGTCCCAACTAGGATTCCACTACTAGCCACTACCTATCTTTGCTTATAATGCTTGTGACTTCAAGCAATATCAAGGCAGTCCGCACATATGCTAACAAGAGACTGATCAATCGCAGTCCTAATATAACAATGGGAAGATACAAGTGAATAGCCCTATACTCAGATTACATATCTTTCTCAAATTCAGCTTTAGACTTTTCTTTTATCTTCGTTCTCATGATTTTCCATCTTCATGTTGACTGGATAACAAAAGATTCGTTTCAGGTGTATTTTCTAGTGTAATCCCATTTTTAAATTCGAACCAATTACTTACATTTTAAATATGTGATTTTGACTGCCCTGTAGGACCACATCTGTTTTATGTAACGCGGATTTTAGGTAACAAACATGTTAAGGTTTGTCTTACCTTATTCAAGCTATTCCCATAGTACTACTTATTTTTATTTATTTATTTATTTTAACACAGATATTGGTACAAGGAGGCACCAAATATATATGCGCCACACAGATCTCATTTGATATGTGTGAGGGCTGTGATACTGTCCGGGTGTCCAAATTAAATCAGGTGGTTTTCTTAGGAGGCCACACCCCGAGCCTTCGACCTGAAGATCTGGTCCACAAGGCAGTGAAGCATCGTAAGGAGATGCAGTCCCATGGTAACCGGTAACCAACGATTGGTTCATACGCCATTTGTTCCTTCAGGATACTGGAGCCAGCCCATGTGCACCATTGGTTTGGGATCCGGTTAAAGCGCCGGACATTCGCTCTTCATTCTCTCAATTTCGTAAACAACACCCCTGCCACGAGAAGGCAGTGAGTAGGACTTCCCTGGAAGAGGCTATGTACGCGTGGCCATGTGAGAGCATTTCGAGAGGGGGAGCGGTTTCTCCCCACTCTCGGCCGTACCAGGACATTTGGGGGCTCATAATACTACTGAGCTGTATTGTATATGGCGTTAGTTAAACCAACACAGTACAGTTCTTGAAAAGATACGTAGTTTATGTAGATGTTTAATTAGCATTGCTTTCACTTAACTACATGGTTAAATCGATAAACTTAAATTGATGTTCTGACCAGGATCATCAGTGTTTACTTCGTGTATAGGTGAGTTTTTGGATATTATTCCATAATTGCCTAATTGGCTCTTTCTGATTACTTTGTTCCTGATTGGTTGTCTTCCTGGGTTTTGTTATATTTGTTGTGTGACGTCGAATCGCGTCTGACTATGATCACCACTACAAGATTACGTGCCAGTTAACCGATAAGATCCCCCGTAGGCCAAATATCAGAAGGCAGTTGGTAGCTGTAGTCGAGATGTATTTGTTGGCGATCTCGTGGTATCGAAAGAATACCAAGATCGTGCCAGATTACAAGTGGGGTTACTGAGCGTAACCAAATTCCGGCAAGGTCACAGTCAACGGAAGAAAGTATGTCTTTTGTATAGTCAAGCAAACAAGTACAGTAAAAGAATCACTGGAACAATTGGTTATAATAATAATTGTTTCCATTACACCAATCGAGTTCTCTTGATAAAAGTTGGTCACTACATATTCATTGATCTTTGCATTCCATCTGACTATTCTGTAAGTGATAATTCTGTCCAGGAAGTTTCATTAAAATTCCTTTTTTTGCTTGCACATTTGACCATTAAATTGGGAATGTGTTGTACTACATAAATCTATTAACGCTACCAAACTTGACCACTACTGTCTTGTGTCCTGAGAATAATTTGTCGTTGTTTTGCACTTCCAATACATCTTTGTTAAGGTTTTCTTGTAATAAAGTAAACAGGACTGTGATACTGATTATTCACAAGCTACACTTCATTTTATTAAATCTGGGGTTCGAATGTGTAATTGATTAAAAAAAACTTGTAATCTATTAATGAATAAAAGGATGAATAGTGGCACCACTTATCAAAAGCTCCGAGCGATAATTAGCTTCATATTTATTTGTTTATAAAATATGCGCAGCGATTTGATGTTTAAATTAAATGTCAATAAGTCTATGTGGCTGTCTTCACTTGTATTAGTAGTTGTTTAATTCGATCTACATCCAAATCACATAGGTCGTGTGATAATACACATGACTGTTATTATTAAGGTCACATCCATACATGTTCAGTAGTCAGCATATCGACGTATATTAAGTTGATACACTAAAATTTACTAGCATGCATCGAAATGCAAATCAATTCTGATAAAAATATGGATCTGGTACTTTATGCTATGATCCATTCATGCTGATTAACTTAACAGTTACTAGCTTGATAGTCCTATAGTCTGAATTAACTTTCGACTATATTTATCCTGTCTCAACATACACTTACTGCAATTTCACATAGTTGATATAAGTGTCACATTTTAGATGCAAAACGATCCTGTTTTCTGGTCAGTTGCTTAGTCTTTTGTCATTTGCTCATCGGGTAGCGGATTGTATCTGTAATCCAGTTTTCCTGATTAATGGTTACCCGGACACTACTGGCGTCAGTTCAGGAGACTGATCTTAATCAGGTCCGATGTAACAGTGATATGATCTTATCAGTTCTGTGCTTCCGATTTCCGTTCCTAAATAGCCCCGAATGATATTCATACAATCGCGTATTCTCATACATATTTCAGACTACCACTGGCTAATGATTGATGTCAATTTGAAGTCATTTAGTATGAACTATCGACTTTAAGATCTGATCAACGGTCACTATA